GGCGGGCGCAGCGATTCCGATGATAAGTTGTGAAATGGGCTCTGAAATAAACAATAAGCGAACTTACTGCCTTCAGAATCCGAATGCCATCCCTCAAAATCGTACACTGTTGGATGCTCGTGCCTACTGGCAACGAAAACGGACGGCGACAGTCGGACCACCGGTGCTGAAGTTTTGCGCCAGGAGCGGCACGATAGATGACCTGAGATCGGCGATAATTTGTAAAATGAATGTGGTGAGGCGCTACAGCTACGCCTCGGTACATCGCAGGATGCGCCCAGTTCTCCGGTACTGTGAGTATCGATCGAAATGGAAAGTGGCCTGTGGCAGTCGGGGGCGCATTCCTGCCCCACATTCTTCCGGAACCGGGGCTTCAGCTGACCGGAACGAGGCTGCTCCGAATCAGTGCTCGTCGAGGCCACATGCCGACGCGACGCTGTAAAAATGGATCCCTTCTTCTGGGTGCAATCTTTGTCGTCCTTAGCACTACTGTCGGTATTCCGCTTGTACAGTGCTTTTCGCAACGTCGTATTTGCAGAAGAGAACATTTGCAGGTAGAACTGGTCCAGAAAGTCCCGAGACGTGATGCAGCGAGAAGTCACAGACAACATCAAATGTGACACATCGCAAACGAGGCCGATGCCAGCAACAACGACGACGACAGATGCCCCAGAATGTAAGAATCTGAAAGAAGCAAGTGATACAGAGACCAATGTGCTCATGCTAACCAACTATAAAATGACGGAAGAGTTCCTTCTTGAAAAAGCGCTTGTACGGAAAACTATCAAATTGAGAAATATGTGGCGAAAATGATGAAAAGCGCCGTAAGACGAAAGTATGAGCACTAAGAACACCAGTTTTCCAAAAGCAAAAGAAAAGATTAGCAGCTGAGAAAACCGATGGGACTTAAAAACAGAAAAAGTCCAATGACCTACAAGATTTAACTTCGGCAAAATTTAGTAACTCGGATTGGCAAAAACTAATACGGGACATCTCCTTAAAATTTCAGCCCCTATTCCCGAAGTAGTAATTCTCCTTGCCAAAACTTTCGCT